CGTTATCAAGATACAACCAACAATTAACATTAAATGTCGCTCTCTGTATGCGACATTAAAACCGCTCTCGCAAGCGTCGTCTGAGATACGGCGCGGCGCGGCGCGACGGGACGAGATGCAATGTCAATGATTGCGGTTGCAAAAAGCAAAGGAAGAAAGAGCAGATAAAAGGCGGCCTGGATTTCCCTCATGGAGGAGACTCCTCCCACTCTGCTCTCCCTCGCCCGCGCGATAATAGCGCGATAATTTTACGGTATTATCGGGGACAGCGCGCTTGAACGCTCCTCTCGCTCGCTCGCTCGCTCGCTCGCTCGCTCGCTCGCCCGTTTAACAGCGCGGAACTGGAGCCTCCTCTCCCGCGAGCGCGGGCCGCCTCGCGCGTCGCAACTCTCGCGACAAACGAGCCACGTCGTCGTACGCGCCGAGCAAATGAGAAATGTTGCGCGCTATCGCGACACCGATCACCTCTCTCGCGAGTAGCAGTACGCGGCGCGGCTGCCTGCGCCGCGCCGCAGGTGCGCGCGCGCGCGCGCGCGCGCTCGCGCGACTTCCCGTACGCGAAATTTATAGACTGATTCGCGCCTTCGGCTGCGCGAGCGACTCGCTCGCGAGCGCGCTCCGCCGCGGTGCGAAATGGAGCCGAAGGGATCGGCTTCGATTCAATGCCCTTATTCGTTGCGAGCATACGTTACGGCGCGTTATCTCGATACAGGTGCGTGGCTGCGGAAGATGAACGCGGTCGTTAGGCGGGACGAAACGGTATGCAGATGAGAGCCGCAGCACGCTTTCGGCCCGGATGCTGCGCCGTGCCGTGCTGCGCCGTGCCGCGCTGCGCCGCGCCGCGCTTCGACGCGACGCGACGCGACGCGACGCCACGCGCGATAGCTCAGTCGCCCCTAGCCGGCCGCCCTTTTGGAGCGGTCGTCGATGACGCCGATTGCGGGATGCCGGCGCGCGCACGCGTTTCTGGAGCACACCGACACCGAGCGCGCGGGTCCTCCCGTTACGGTATTCGGATGCATCCACGTAGAATTGAACGTGCGAAAGCGGATAGTTGCGGAGGAACGTGCTCTCGGCGAGATCCAGTTCTTTGGAAATTTTAATTGGCGCTCGAGTCTCTCTCTCTCTCTCCCTCTCTCTCTCCCCCTCTCTCTCTCTCTCTCTCCCTCTCTCTCTCTCTCTCTCTCTCTCTCGAGTGGAATTTATCATGGATCTTTCGGAGCCGGATTTCAAATACAAGTCCGTTTCCTCGCAAATCGCGTTCACGCTTAAACGCTGCTACGTCGAGTGTTTTGTCAAGACGCTGAGAAACTGAGGCTGAGAAGAGCACGAGATCGATCGCGAGGAAAGCCCGAGACAATCCGGATCCGGCAAGAGACTCGACGAAAGGTAACTTCAAAGTACTCGCAACGATACCGGTATAGATTACGAGCGAGTCAAGAGAGCGGGTCAACCAACCTTCCCCTCTCCGGCCCGGAACGTTCCCCGCCGGCGCGTTATAAGCAAAGCCGATGCATTTCTCATACTTTCCGCGCGGGCGCGGGCGCGCGAGAAACGGCGATAGATCTCTCCCGCGGAAGTGAGTCACGCCTAAGCAGCGATCGACGCGACTCGTACGATCGCGTCGTGATAAGGTCGCTCTCGCGCGAAACGCTCTTGAAGCGCCGCTGAGTGTCCACAAGCGCGAGCGGAGCGCTCCGAGGCCGGCGAATCGGCCGCTATTATTATTACAAGCGCGTTACGGCAGGCCTCGTATCGCGAGTTTGCCCACCAGTTGAATCTCGCGTTCTCATAAATTTGGAAACGCGGCGCGGCAGCGCCATAAAGCGAAAGAACCGGCACGCGCGCGCATTAGCCGCTAGCTAGGCTGTAGGCCGGCCTGCTGCTACTAATCCCGGCCCTCTCGGTCGAGAACTGCGAGGCGGAATCGGTTCGCGAGTTCGACGCGCTAATCGTCGTCCCGTAAATTAATGCGGCCGCTTAACTGAAATTTCGAACGATATTTATTCCCGACTCTCTCGCTCTCTCTCTCTCTCTCTCGGCCGCCCGTTCGCGCCCGCTCGCTCTCCTGCTCTCCGGCCGGCGATAAATTATAAGAAGCGGCGGATTACGTCATAATGGACGCGGAGCACGCGCATCTGTTTTACGAGCGCGGCGTTACGGTAATCGTCGAGAGCGAGAACCGACCCGCTTCGCGTCGCCGCCCGCTCGCCCCCGCTTATAAATCGGCCCAACTCTCAATGAGGCCTGTGTGTATATCACTGTGGCTTGCGAGCCCCAGGGGTTCCCTCGTCCTCGGGGGGGGGGGGGGGGGCGAGAGAGTGAGAGGGTGCGCGCCGAGTGTCCCTCCCCCCGAGGGGCAGAATCGCGGCCGTGGCGCGTGTAATCACTATAATTTCGGCAGGGGCCGAAATTTTTGCTCGGCCGATCGCGACTCGTCTCGTCCCGATTTCATTAACCCTTCATTCCGCGCGCGGCCCGGCAATTTCGACTCGAGTCGCATACAATGTCTCGCGGAAGCGACGTCGTGGGAAAAAAACGAGACGGAGAGGGTGGCGAAGAGAAGAACGCGCGTGAGCGAGATGTCGTCTTTAATTTTTTTTCTTCTTCAACCCCTCTATCCCGCGGCTCTCCGTTGCTCTTTAACCCCGACCCGATCATTTTTTCTCGCGTATACGCAGGGTTTACCCCTCGCGCGCGCGCGCGCTCACGGCGCGATCACGGATATTATCCGCTCGACGCTGAAACACAGTTGGAATATCTCTCCGTGGCGACGTAATTGCCGACGTCGCGATGACGAACGAGGCAGCTGTTGACCGCCGAAACGTTCACGATAAATCGGGCCTGCGGCGTTCGATCTTTCGATTAGCGCCCTACAGCTGAAAAGGGTTCATGCCGGCGCACCCCCGACGGTGCTCTTCGCGGGTCGCACGACGATAACACGACGGTGACGAGCTAATTGCGTCCGATCCCGCGTTACGTAGCACTTTCTCGCCCCCGACGTGCGCTTTTTCTGCTTACGAACGCACCCCGCCTCGACGTATCGCGCGCGTCACGACTTTCTCAGCCGCTCGATTTTTCACCGGCAACCACGATACCACATCGCTCGCGCTCGCGGAACGTTCGGACTGAATATTCACGGGACTCGAGATTCGGGACGGAAGATTAGCAAACGCACGGCGAAAAAAAATTGCATTTCGGACTGGAACGTTATTGTGCGCTTTGATGTATGAGCCGCTCGTGTTAACCTTTAGAGGACCTGGTGGCTCTATAGAAGCCACTAACAAACTCGAAAACTCTACGCGACATGATGGTTACACACACACACACACACATATATATATATATATAAATTTTCCGCGAAAAAAATTGCAAATTTTAAAGGAAAAATGCCGGTCCTCCTCCGAAAGGTTAATTAAAGGTTAAGGGTCCTCGTTCTCTTATCCTTCTTTCTCCTCACGTTAATTTGCGAGCGAGCAAATTATCAAAATTCTGCCGAGATGTTAATTCGAGGCGGTCGTCGGGCAGGAGGAGGGAGAGGGGAAGGCGATATTGCTTCCCACACCTTGATGTATGAGCGGCTCGCGTCAGGGGCGATGTAAAGGTCCTCGTTCTCTTATCCTTCTTTCTTCTCACGTTAGTTTGCGAGCAACGAAATTACCGAGGAATTTTGCCGAGATGTTAATTCGCGGGCAGGAGGAAGAAGGGGGAAGGGGCGATATCGTTTCCCACTCCCTTCGTCGCACACGAGGGCTCGATCCGATCTGTGACGCGTGTGCGCGGTCGATGAAGAAATTTCGATTATACACAGCAGGGCGCGCGCGCGGTAACGCGTCGCCCGCACGAAATCGAAGACACCGTTCGCGTGCTCGAGAGCTCCGCGGCTCCTCTCTTTCTTTCTGCTCTCTCTCGGCGATGATTCGCACACGTGGCCGCGAGGCGAAAAATGAAATTTCCACTGCGCCGCCTACGTCGCCCAATACGCCCGATACTATCTCTCTCTCTCTCTCTCTCTATTCTCCGATTACCGATCTTATCGAGCCTCAATAAAACCGCGCGATCACGGCGGACGCGATATTCTCGCTTTCGTCACAGAGGCATTGTTCCTTCCACGAGTCCCATGCTGTTCTCCGAATAGCCGCGCAATTCCACGCGAGATACGGCACGATTAACGTACCGGTCGCAGCGATTTCTCTTTTTGGTATCTAGAGAGAGAGAGAGAGAGAGAGAGAAATATGCGATTCGTGTAAACGACTTTCGTCTTATACTTCCCTCTACTGGCCTAGAAAACGAATAGACTGGGAGCGATTACGAGTCGTCACACGCGAAAGTAGCTCGATAATCTCAACCAGCGATAATCCCCAGCTTCTAAGCCAACCGGTATCTTTACGTGCGCGCTGAAACCTACAGGCAGAAGAGACGAAGGAACACGCGAAGCATGAGACTCAGTCCGGATCCGAAGCCGCAACCTACGTCAAAACACTTCCGGCTGCGACGGTGAATGTGACAAAAAGCATGACGGCTTCCGTGCAAACCCGGAGCACGTTTATCAAAAATCATCCTTCCTCGGCTTGTTATTCTCCTGCTTCCGCTTATATTTCGGAAACTAAAGTCTACTGTGAAAAAACGCACTACGTGCGGCGTCCTTAGCGAGACAGACTCGCCGCCGGTCGCCGGAGTGCGCGATAAAATTGCGAAGAATCTGTACGAAGAGAACTCGCGCTTACGACACGCGAATATTATCGTCGCGACGAGTGAGTCCCGTCAACGGGACCGGGATTCCGGGACGTGAGCGCAAGCATCAACGCGAGGCAGGCATCGCGAGCACGACGGGGTCCGGACGCGGGTCCGGTACGTGGAAGCGGAAGTTGAAGACTGGATCTCTCTCGACGGCGCGCGAGAATGAAAAGGGATCTTTCGAGACGACGCGTAACGAGCGGAACGAGCGAGCCACCACCAAGCGCAGCACGAGGAGACGAAAGGCATATGCTAACACTCACGGGCATCGGCGGGTGCAGTCCGCGAAACGCAGCGCCGCTCCACTTGCGCTGCCTGGCCGGGTGGTAGTGGCCGCTGCCACTTCCGCCGGCGCTTCGGCCGTAGGCGCTGTTGTTCTGGTGATTGCCGTACGGCGAGCGCGACATTGTGGGCCGGAAGCCGGGGTACGGCATCGCGGCGGGGTTGGCGTGCTGAAAGTCGCCGGCGTCGTAGCGATGATGGTGCTCCTGCAGGAAGCCGTCGCTGGGGATCGGCGGCGGCATCCTGCCGTAGGCAGCCACGTGTCGGTCGACGTGAGAAGCCGCCGCCGCCGCTGCCGCCGCCGCCACCGCCGCCACCGTCTGTTCGTGAGCGTCGCCGGCGATTTTCAGCCGGTCGCCGATCGAGCCGTCCGGCGACGGGCGTCCTCCTCCGCCGGGGAAGGAGCCCGGCATCATGGCGGGATGATGATGATGGTGGCCGTAGAAGGGCGGGAAGCCGAACGAGTTGGGCGGCAGTGGCACCGGACGGTATCCTTGATGCGGCTGTTGACACTGTCCAGGAGCACTGTCCGGCATGTATCCCGGTTTCTTGTCGTTGCGCTCGTAGTGATAGCCGTCGTTGCTGTTGAGCTGCCGCTGCTGGTAGTCCTCCCGCGGCTCGCCTTTGACCTCGACCGCCGAGCCGGCGGCCTCCGTTGGCTCGGGCATCTCGACCTTAACCCTCACCCCGCCGTCGTTCTTGTCCGCGACGGGCTCGCTCTTGATCGCGAAACTAGCCGGCGATCTCGTCGCCGGCGGACTCGCCGCGCCGGAGTCCTCGTCGCAGCCGCCGCCTACGCTGGCCTGCTGCATCCTCGGGGATTCACGCGTCGACGCCGCGCTGTTGCACCTCAGGCGACCGCGATGGCGTCATCGGTGGAACGAGCAGCGTCGGTGGTTGCGATGCGGCTCTGCGATGTCAAGTGGAAGAAAATCCCGGCCGCGGCCGCGGCCAAACTCGATCGTCGCTGTCGCTCGACTAAACTCCGAGTTTACGCGAACGACTTTCAAATGGCGGACGACGTTGTCCGCGTGTATGAACAGTCGCGGATACGCATCTTATCTCAAAACATCGCTCATGTGGCGCTCAGCGATTTTTTCGGGGATTTCGGGGCGCGAGTCGAGCGAGAAATCGTCGAGTCGACGGGAGGCAGAACGAGCACGCACTTGCGATCCCGCTGCGCGACTACGGCGTCGCATAGTCCGCGAGCGCGCAGGATTTCCAGGATTTTCCTGTCAAGCGGATCGCGGCACACTGTATCGCCGAGGTGCGTGCCGCTGCTACGTTCATGTAATCGAAGTCACACAGTGTCCTCGTCAAGCATTGGAGAGTTGTTTCTCGAATCAATCTCGCGCGTGAAAGGAGGAGTTGCTTCCTAATGCGGAATGTGCGATGTGCACGCATACATACATACACACACACACACACACACACACACGTGTATGAGAGTCTTTCTCTCTCTCTCTCTCTCTCTCTCCCCCCTCTCTCTTCCTCGTTGATCGCGGGCGTCGTCCGTGGACACGTTCACTGTGTGCAGTATGAGAGAGAGAGAGAGCGTGGGTCGCTTTGGATTTCGGGCAGTTGGTGGGAGGGGGCAGGGGGCGAGGGGAGGGCAAGGGCGGCGTGACAGTTTCCGTGTCACGTGTCCACCGACCTTAGGCTCCGCCTCCGATTTTCCCTCGAGCCGGATCGTTACCTGGCTCTGCTGCCGGCGGTGGCCCTTTCGACTCCGTCATTCGTCGACGTCCTCACCGTACCGGAACCTCCGGCGACCACGGCGAAGGCGCGGAAGGGGCGCGAGAGTGTCTCTACCCTTCCTCGATCGCGAGGCACCGGATCGAGATAGGAAGAAAAACAAGTGTGTCACCACTATAATGCCGAGCGAACCGCACCAATTTCACGGAGCGGTGACCCTCCGCGCTGTCTGCCCCCCTCTCTCTCTCTCTCTCTCTCTCCCTCTCTCACTCTCTCTTTCTCTGTCCCACTACTACCACCCTCGCACGCCACCACTTCCTCCTCCTCCTCCTCCACGTCCTCCGCCTCCTCCTCCTCCTCCTCCTCCTCCTCCTTCTCCTCTTCCTCCGCCTCCCTCTCCTCTTCTGCGACAAACCGCCGAGCGTAAAGCACCACGCGAACACCGGACGCGCGATTGGCGCGTTTTCTTGCCGCTACCGTCGTCGCCGGCGCCGCCGCTGCCGCCGCAGCCGCGAGAACTCTTTACGGTACACTGCGTCGCGAACGCATCGCGAATCTCCCGCGCGGAACCGCGTTAAGTACCGGACTGGGACGCTTTCGCACCTTGGCGCGGCTACCGACGGCCAGGTGTGTGGATGTGTGCGTGTGTATGCGCGTGTGTTTGTGTGCGCTGTCCGCCGGCTCACACGAAGACACGTATAACGCCGCACCACCACCGCTGCCGCCGCTGTCGCTTCCGCCGCCGCTGCCGCTGCCGTCACCACCACCACCACCACCACCACTGTCTCCGCCGCCGCCTCCGCCGCCGCCGCCGCCGCCGCCGCCGCCGCCGCTACCGCCGTCGTTGTTGTCGTGGTCGTCGTCGTGAAGCGCGTTCTCGTCGCGTTCGAGTCGCGAATTATTATCACCGAGAGAGCGACGATAGCAAGCTGTCAACCGGCGCGAAACACGCAGCGGGGCCCGATACGCAAAGGAAGGCCAGGCGGCCTCGGTCGACCTGATCGCGTACGTACGAGTTTCGTTCCACGCAGCGTGAAACTCTTGGCGGAGGTGCGCGGAGCGCGGCGGCCACCACCAGCCAGCGGAAACGCACGAAATCTCCCGAACACAACCGAGCTCTCCGATATATCTCTCTACCTACCTACCTACCTACCTACGGACTACTCCTCCAGCCGCCTCCAACCGCCTCCCGCCATCCGCGAGCGTACACCGCCGCCACCGCCGCCGCCACCGCTAGCCGACAGACTCACGAAGTGGGTTCACCTTTTGTGAGACCGTCAGCTCCCTCGCGCTCGCTCTCTCGCCGATCCCCGTCGCGATCGCCGGGTGGAATCGTACTTTCGTACGTCGCATATCGCGTCCCGAGCATAAGCCCGACGGCCGCCTCTATCCAGGATGGTTAGTCGTCGGTCAGAGGGATCCCGAAGAATCGGAACGTTGGCGGAGAAAGTAAAAATGGCTCGCGCGACCGGACGGACTCTTAGAATCGTGAGCTCGCGCATACCAAATTCAATTCAGACGGGCTGCATGAAGGAGGGGGGAAGAAGGAGAGAGAGGGGGCTGGAAGGAAATGAGAGTTGTACCGATGGTCTGATTGAAACTTCGTCTCACGGACGATGCCGATTTAAAAAAGCGCGTCTCACGGACGCACTCGATATCGTCAAACGATACACGTCTGCACGATCGTATAAAAAAAGAAGGAAATCGCAAACGCGAGAATCACGCGGATTACTCCGCGGCGTCGTTATCATAGCGTGTTGCGAGCTGATGAAAATAAATATTGGCGATGTAACGACACAAGCGGGCGGTTAAAAAATAAATAAATAAACGGGAGCGATCTCGCGAATATCTCGCTGCATTCAATTGAACGCCACTTCGCTGATTCGCTGCAGAGTCTGTTCGCCCGCGAGAGTCAGTCCGGGGAATACGGGGGTTGATCATCATCAGGCTCAGGACGAATCGATGCGAAATTGCGCCGCGAACCCGATTATTCGCGAGTCTCATGTTTCGGAGCGCGTTCGCTCGCTCGCTCGCTCGCCTTATCCGTGCTCACGCGCATCCAGTCCGATACGTGCCGATGAATTTATTGTCCGCGAGGTTGTAGGTCTAGCTACGACGGCGCTACGCGTCGCCCCTCCACACCCTCGGCCGCGGCGCGGCGCGGCGCGGCGCGGCGCGGCGCGACGCGGCGGCGGATCCGAGGCTTTTTTCGTGTCGCTACTTTATGTTGCTCGCGCCGGTAGTTACGATGAGAACCGTCGGACGTGGGTCTGCCTGCACCGCCGCCACACGATATATCAGGTTACATATCCGTTGCGTCATGTAAATTGATACCTGTACACGCTCGAACACCGATCGGGCATTTATTTAAGCCATAAATTATCGTAATGTCGATCGGACATGCTCCTAGGTACGATTTTGCTAACCAGCCGTGTCGGCTGGGCTTACCCGCGTCCGCGGAGACAAGGAAGCGACGCGCGCTCGTTATGATGCGCCACCTTTAAACCTTGAACCCCGTCGTTGCACCACCACAACCCCCCCCCTCCCCTCCACTCCCCACCCCCGCACGATTCGCCGGTCCGTCTCGCGAGCCAAAACATCAAGCGTGTATTTTTCAGACGCCGCGCGCGGATCGATCGGAGGACGCGACGCGACTCGCGAGTCCGAAAGCGTGCGAAAATCTCTCGCGGCGTGCGGCGGCCATTAAGGTGGCACCCTCGAGAGGGTAATTCTATTCTCTTCCACAATCTGGAATTCAATATTTATCACGAACTGAACGTAAACAACCTAGTTTGCAGGTCCGAGCTAAAGAGACGCTATCACGATAGCAGCCTCGCTGTTATGAATCGGTAACGAAGCGCTCGTGAACGTGATCCACCTTTAACCCTTCCTCACGACGAGAGACGCAGACGTTCCTCTCACATCGATCCCTCTGCTGCGCTCTCTCTCTCTCTCTCTCTCTCCCTCCCTCCCCTCCCTTTCTCTCCCTCACGTAACCAACAGGCGCGCAAGCGAGTCCTTCGTCGCGCTGAGCGGAGCTTTTTACGAGCGCCTTCGTGTTTTGTCCTGCGTGGCAGGCCGAAAGGCCGACGATGCCGCACAGGTACGCGTACATACCTACGTGCGTACGTAGGTATATCTACCTACCTACCTACCTACCTACCTACCTACCTACCAACCTACCTACCAACCTACCTACCTACGTAGAACGGCCGTTGCGGGCTTCGCCTTTCGAGGTAGCCTACGTGCACCCATCTGTACCGCGCCGCCGAGACAAAAGGAGCAGGAAGGACGGGACCGTGCGTTCCCCCTCCCCCCCCTCTCTCTCTCTCTCTAGCTCTTGCTCATTCACTCGCTCACTCTCCTTCCCTTTCCCCCTGCCCCACCCTTGGCCCTTTCTCGCTGCCTCTCCCTTTCCATCTCTTTCTCGACGCGCAGCCCGTCGATACCCGGCTATACGACTCGCGGGGCGAATCGATGCGTGTGTGCATGCACTCTCTCGCAGCGGGATGACTGGTGAGAGAATTCAATTTCCGTCGTCGTTATCGTGCCTCCATCTTCAGCTCGAGCCGCGCTCAGATCATCCTCGCTGACTCCACCGTTCTCACCGGTGCGGCGCGGCGCAGCGCGGCGCGGCTCGCCGAGCGAATCCCGCCGCGCTCTGCCGGCTCGGCCTGCTGGCGTAACGAGACAAAGCCGTCGTTGCCTTCGCTTTGCTGGCGCTCGTCCCGCGACCTTTTCGCTGGATGGACTATCGGGAAAGAGGGAGCGAACGAGCGAGCGAGCGAGCGAGCGAGCGAGAAAGAGAGAGAAAGCGCGAGCGCGTTATCGAGGCAACACGCTCGATAAGGATCGGCCTGAGCGACTAGTAGAGCGCATGTTTAATTATAACGAGTGAATCGAAATGAGCTACGCGTCCCACTGCTCGCTATCGCGTTGGCCATCGATGCGGACTATTCGATCTGAAGTCGTAATAACGCGAGAGACGATCGAGGAACGATTCGCCTACATTGGGACGCGGATAGGAACACGGCTGGATGGGATAGCGGCAACGATAGCGATTGGGGCTTTGGAACACTAGTGCTGAAAAAAGCGCACGAGAGAGAAGCGCGTGACGCACGAGCGTCCGGTGCACGGAGAATCCCACACGGAGAAACGGCAACTTTCTTCGGACCTGAGAAATCCAGTCCTCTCTTCACCGCGAGAGGCCTTCGATTATAATTGACAGCAACATCAACAGCGATAATGGGATCGTCCGGATGGCCGGCGGCGCGCGATCGATGCCGCTAAACGTGTGTGATAGATTAAAGCCAGGGGCTCGATAAGATTCTACACGCGAGCGCAGATACGCGGTTTGTTTTAACGTTTCCCGTGCAGGAAGCACGATCATCACGCTCGCGAGTCCAACATGGACGCCGCGTCCCGTCGGACTCCCTCCCGTCTCCCGATCCTCGATGGACGTGTCGGGATCTAAAAATTAGCCGCGACACATCCGCGCATTGTATCAATTATTGGCCGAGATAATGCGCTCCTCGTAGGTAGCCAAAGCGTGCGGCGGAGGCGATTACATTTTATGACCCGAGCGAATATAGTCTCTCCATTACGTAATCAGGCCGTGCGCTTCCCAGCTGTCCGATCAGCGGTTTAGGCAGAGACGAGCTGTTCTTGCCAGGGCAGTGAGGAGAAAAACAACAGCCGACCGCGTGTGCGTATCGATCGTGGCG